GTTAACAATATTCTTCAAGACTTATGAAAAAAATTGTATAAAAATTAATTAGATTAAAATTATAGATTAAATAATATATCATAAATTTCAACAAAAATAAATATATAGATATTTGACCTTATCATCGGAATCAATTTCTCCTATATTTTGTAAACACTTGTTTTCTAAGTCTATATATTATTTTGGTCAAGTAATACCAATAGAAACTATATGACAAAAGAATGATTAACTAATTTAAATTAATAATTAAAACTAACAATAAAAAATAAAACAAATTTTATTAAATAAATAAAGTTTAATTATTTATTATTTTGTTGCTTGTGTTTTAACCAACTTTGTGTACACATAAATGCCTTTAGAGTAAATTTATGGAGTCTAAAATGATGAGAACTAAAAAATCTACCTCTTGTGTTAAATGTAAATTTTGAAACTACAATTGAAATTGAGATTAGTAGAACATCCTTAGCAAGTTTTTACAAAATTGAATATTTGATCCCATTTGTTTTCCACCATCTAAGATTGTTAAAAGTAACAGACAAAACATTTTATTTCAAGTAGAGTTCTATTTTAGACTTTGCTTATGTTTTAACTGTATCATTCACAAATTAACATGTCATAATCACTAAGAAAATTGAAAATATTTAGATTATTCAAGTTTGACTTATTGACATTTGCTTGTGAAATTGAATTTTTCATTATTCTCTTAACTTTAGTTTGATACTCTTAAAATAATGAGCAGTATAATTTATTGATATTATTAATTTTAATTGAATATAAGCTATTATAAAACTTAGAAAAAAAAGTATCCAACAACTTTAACTTGTATTTTGGATCTAAAATAATAACAATATTATTATATTATATTATATTATATATATATAACTGTAAGGCGAGTTGGGTACCATTATAATCGTACCCGCATTCACAAAATTTTACAGGTCTATATATACGTGTCCTGTACCCATCTCCATATAAACGAGTATTTATCCGCTCACATAAGAATATTTTTGCGAGTACCCGTAAGATTCGGATCCATTTTATCATCATTAGTGTATCGTCACTTGTTATTCATATTAAAATTTTAATTTATATTTATGTATTTTAAATAATCGGTGATTCTTTCTATTAGCATCTAACCTATATTGACACTTCCATTTTATTTATTTACTTGGTGTGTCCTCATCGTAAAGTATGGATCTTAAGTGAAATATCTCATAGATATCATAAAATGCATTATTTGGTCTCTAGCTAATTGGTGATCGATGATGAAAGAATGAACATGGAAATATTTTTGGATCATTTGAAACATGGAAATGTGAAATGATAAGACAAAAATGAAACGAAAACTACGTACATAAGAATGTTGTGATATGATACGGATGCCCATTATCGACTTTGTGATGCTTAAACTTGATAAATAACCAAGTAAAACATCGATCTTTATTAGTAATGAATGTGTATGATTATTTTCATTTTCTTTTGGTAAAAGAGAATATATAATAAATATTCTGATGGGCCAATCACTTTTTCTCATTTAATGTTCTATGTATGATTGTTATCGTATTAAATAATAATGGCGAACAAATTTATGTAAATAATTTTATACTTCTTTCTCTTTATATATATTCACAAAGATTGATATAATATTATTTATTTATTGTGTGTTATACAAAACTTTTTACACTTTTTTTCTACCCATTAAAATTTATACAAAGAAATATTTATTCTCATAACTATTTTTTATCTCCACGATTTGTAAATCATTATATATTTATACTAAATAATCACTTACAGTATTTTTTTATATTTAACTTTTAAAAGTATTGAAAGACACGATCTTCTTTTCTTTTAGTTATAATTACAACGGTAAAGTTCAAATCGAAGGTGAACCAACATTATTCACATAACCTTTTACATAATCCTAATTCTTATCACATAAATTTTTTAAATAAAATGAATCCATCTTTGACATTAAGTGTGAAATCTTGAAGCCTAGGCATAAATATAGCGGCTTCACATTTAATATGCACCATTTGCGGAAATCAGATTTTTGTGACTATTTATTTGTCTTCTTTGACTTTTAATACATAGTTAACTTCTAACTACACCAGCTAATTAATCTCCTAACATGTTCTTTCCTCTACATTTATCTCCTTAAAAGAATATTAAACACTAGTATGTTAAATTCAAAATATCCTCATTTAATATCTTTAATAAGAGCAATTATGAATTAAGAATAACAATTGTTATATATATGTAGAAAAAATTAATTAATATGAAAAAAGGATTATAAAATAAAAATTATGTCATCGTCAAAAGTGAAAATTAGAGCTATATTCTCAAAATGATTTTATATGCGAGTCTTTTGGAACAACCATGAAATGGACAATGACTTCATATATTTGCCATTATAGTAAAAATGAGAAAAATAAAAGGGAATTCATAAGTACTAATGTCTAATGAGGACAACATTAGATTTGCTCTTGGACAAAGTTAAGTCGTCCAGTGCAATATAAAAACATTAAAGATGTCTTTCGAAGTTAGGATATTATATATATATGAACTGAATTCAAGTAATTCCATATTTGGACGAGGAATCTAATATATGATCACGTGGGTCAAACCAATAATATTTTTTAATTATATCTTTCACTTTTCATAGGAGCGAATAGACTGACATCTCCAATTTTTTTTATTTTCATTTAACTGGACTGAGAAAACATTGAGATCAAATTATGGTTCATTATTATAATATAACATCTGCGGAAAAAAACAATGTGAGACTTTGAGTACTTAATATAAAAATCATATATATAAATTCTAAATACATAAATTAATTAAGGCCAGAGATGTTAAGTTTAAACTTGAATTTACAACTATCATATAATTATTCAGAAAGGCAACCTGTAATCTTTTATAATCCTAATCTAATTCGAACAAAATTTCTTTTTCTTTTAGATGTCTTTATAAGTAAATTTTGATTTCAAGGGGGAGGGGGATTTTGTTTACTATTATCTCAACTGGAGAGTTGATTTTAAGGTTTTATATATGAATTATCATTGAAAACATAAATCAACTGATTTAAGATTATTTTAACATAATTATGAGTAAATTACATTGAAATTTTCTGATATTTTGTAAAATTGCATAATTTTTTTAAATATTTACAATATCTTCTTTTATGAGAGAGGTTGTAATATTGTCAAACAATTAAAGAAGTTATTGTAGTGTATAAAGAGTTGCATTAGAAGCGAATTTTGATTCTAAAGGGGGATTATGCCTACCTATTATCCTACCATAAGAGTTAACTTAATCATTTTGTCCCTTAACATTATACTATAAAAAGTCATAAAAGAGATTCAGAAGAAGTTGTCAATTGAAACCCTACCAACTACATGACATTTTGTGGTAAAGATGGATACTAATATGTATATTGATGATAAAGAGGTGAAAAATCAAATATAATTGACAAATAATCTTATTCTTAAATATGATTAGAAATTTGATTCTTGATCAATATATATATATATATAATATTTATTGAAATAAATATTGATATATTTCAAGAAAACAAACTCTTAAAAAGATTGCTAAAGGGTACACAAAATAAAAAAAATAATATGGAGGTGTGGAATAAGGAGAGAAAAGATTCTTTGGAGTTTGTGTGATGGAGGTTAATTGGGGAGAGAGGTGGGTGAAGAGTTATGGTTACTTTTGATAGATATTTTAGGGTGTATGGGCCATTGCCATAATATGGTGAAGAGAGAGGGATCACATGGAATGGAAGGAACCACACAAAGTCAGCCTATGCATGCCCCACACCCCTTCTAAGTCACTCTCACGCGCTAACTCATTTGGGAGTTGGGACCAATCCCATGCATTCACCATCCATAAATAACAACTTGCTCAATCCTTATTTTAGGATATACTTATTTCTCGAGTTAATCATTTATATATTATTAATGTAAAGTTTTTTTTATTATAATTAATAAATTTTTTAAAATTATTTATTTTATTTATTTTATTAAATAAGTAACTGACATAACATTATTAAAAAATTTCATTAATTATTAATGTAAAATTTTTTTACACTAACAATATATAAGTGATTAACTTCTCAAATTATTATTAGGATAAATTAATAGAAACTATAATTGTGACTTTCTTTATGACTTCGAATTTTCGTTTTAATTTATCCATGAATTATGATTCAGACAAAAGAAACAAATATTTAATTTATTTTGGTAAAAAGTTAATTTTAAATTTTATAACATAAATATGACTAAAATAAAGAAGTTTAACTAATAATTATTTTTAAGACTTAAATATATATTTAGTTTAAGTTAATTATGATTGTTATTCAAGAAAGATAATGTTACTTGTACAAGTAAATTTTAACAAGAATAGAGAACAAAATATGAAAAACAACTAATAATGTTACAGAAAAAAGAAGTCATTATTTTAAATAAATTGAAACAGAAGTAAAAAATAAAAATAGGTGTCCTGTTATGAAAACTTAGCTGAGCAATTGAATACATTTCATGCCTCATAAACGCATTAAATTACAATTTTTATGCTAAATAAGGTGTGTCTACATGGTTGACTTTGGATGATCATAGTAATACAATACTAGTCCAATATCTTACTTTTAACAATATAGAATATAGATTTCAAAAGTTGGATAGATATTTTGGATGATATTGAGGCTGGGACATTAGGCAACACCATAAGCTCAGTGGGAGTGATGCAGCAGAACATAACCATGGCGCGTGGATAGAGATAGACACCCTTTTCTCTTCACAATCCCTATGGACCCAAACTTCCCCACCACCACGGTCCCTATTTAAATCTCAAATATTTATTCATTTAATTCACTTATTCTTCAAATAAATACCATAGTACTAATATTTTGTTTATTTATTTTTTTTAAAATAAAATATTTCAGTATTATCCAAAACAAGAAGTGCTTTTTCTGTTCAACTTTGTTTGCTTCTCAACCCCCTTTCTCAAATCCCAGAAACATCACACACACAGCTTCGTCATCATCATCATATCACAACTCAAACAGGAGAGAGAAAGTGTGAAAAAAAAAACCTTTTTTTAGAGAGAGAAACAAAGCTTAGCCCTAGAAAAATATGCAACGAGATAAGGACTTTTGCAGCTGAGACACTGCAACTGCAAGAGTTAGAGAGAGAAAAGACTATTATTATTATTACTATTTTTATTTCAATTTTCAATTTTTAAGCTTTTTTTTTTTTATGTATATATTTATTTTGCCTTCTTTGTTGTTCTCCATTGTTGTGGAGAAATTTGCTTCTTTGCACTGACAGTGGTTCTTTCTCTCACCTCTTTCTCTGTGTAACTCTGCCACCTCTCTTCATTTCCCCAAGAGAGGAAAAAAAAGACTGTTGAACTTTTTTCAACTCAATCAATCACTAGCTTCCATTTCTTCACGAGTGGGACTGTGAATGTGCACCACAGCTTTTTGATCTTGTTCCTCAAATGTTAGTACGATTCCTTTTCCCTTTGCTTTGTATCTGCACATGTTGCATTCTCACTTTTGTGTGTTTGGGGCGTTGAATCTGTTCTAGTCATGAACCCAATTCTTCAAAGTTTGTAATTTTCCATGACGAAACCCGTTTTGGCTGACGCTTTGCTTGTTTTTCTTTGTGATTCTGCGGTCCCTTTGGCGTGATGTGGCATTTTCTGTTCTTTTTAGGAACTGGGTTGCAAATTCTTTATGGCATTGGTCTCGAGTAATTAGTTCCTTCCTTTTATTTTTGTTTCACTTGTATATTTCGTGGTGGTAATTTTCTGGGTGTTGGCACTTGTATTGCTTGGTGTTTAAGGTTTATGATGGGTGTTGGTAAGAGTGGACCTTTCATGTTCTTCTAGTCTTTCTTTATCTTCAGCATGAAGCCTTTTTGTTGTTTCTTATAGTTTGGTAAGCTGTAAATAGCTTCTTTTTTTGTCTTCTCTTAGACATGTCCATATTGTTGTTAGAGAGTGGTTCCCTTGTTTGTGTTGATGCTTTCATGGCTTACCATCTTTTCCTCTGATCTATCTTCTACTTGATGCTTTGCCTTTATATACGTGTGGATCCATTTTAGTTTCCTTCATATGTATATTTTATAATATTGTGTCATCAATGAGAAGTTTTATCTGCTGGAAGCTTCACTGTTTTGATTTTAAGGACTTATAGTTGTTCTTCTCAAGCTACAGTTACTTACATTTAAGCACTTTTTAACACGCTTGTTGGTCATTGCTCATTGGATTTCATACTTTTTATGGTATCCTGATATATTGGTGTTTTTTCCTCCACAATTTGTCACTATACTCTATTTGGGAACAGAGCTAGGTGATAAGTTTAGGTGTGTATTGGAGTTTCAAAGTTTATTGTGAAAGATTCTGAAGGCATTTGAAGTAAATGCATGGATCGTGGGGACCAAATGGCGCTATCTGGGTCTTACTACATGCAGCAAAGAGGAATACCTGGATCTGGAGCACAACCCGAGTTACATGTTTCACCTAATATTCGTCCACTGTCTAATCCGAATCTACCATTTCAATCCAGCATTGGTGGTGGTAACATTGGATCCACATTGCCATTGGAATCTTCGGCAATTTCGTCTCATGGTATCAATGTTGGAGCTCCTACTGGGGCTCCTCCTGGGGAACCTGTCAAGAGGAAGAGAGGAAGGCCTAGGAAGTATGGCACTGATGGAAGTGTGTCCTTGGCATTGACTCCAACTCCAACATCATCTAGTCATCATGGAGCCTTTTCACAAAACCAGAAACGGGGCAGGGGGCGCCCACCTGGGACTGGGAAGAAACAGCAATTGGCTTCTCTTGGTAAATCTCTATTGCAATGCAACTTGTTTTAGAGTTTGTTTGGATACAAGCTTAAAAAGCTTTAGAGAGCATCTCTATTGGAAAAAAAAAAAACTATATTTTCAGTAAAAAAAAAAGCTCTCAAAAGCTTTTCCAAGTCTGTATCTAAACAGACTCTTAGTTTTTCCTTTTGTTGCATATGATAATTATTTGAAGCTGAAGAAAGGTTGATGAGTTTGAAATTCTGCAAATCCTTATCCAAGTCTTATTTTGTTGAAAGTTTTGTTTAACTGAATATTTGGTTACTGATTTATTTATTTATTTATTTTATGTTGATATGCTATTATCATAATCACCTTAATGATCAATGGATTTTAAATCCATGTAGTTTGCTATATATTATTAATTTCCTTGAATTTAAATTTTCCTGATCCACAAGAGAGATGCATTTTTTATATTTTTTCTAATAAATCTGATTAGAATTAAAATGGGTTGATTGTTGTTGATTTGTATACCATTATACCTTCCCAGTGTTTTTGTAGGATTGTATACAGAAAACAATTGTGTGTTTGGTTTAGCTTATTTTGGAGAAATAATTATTTTTTCCAGCTTCTTGTCGCTTTTAAAAAAATGATTATTTCCTCACATTTAAAATCTTTCCAAAACATGCATCCTTACCTCATTCAGTAATTATTGCCTCACATTATAATAATCAAGCTATTTGGAGAAGACATTTTACAATTTTGACAAATGTATGTATATGTAGATAAAGGATCTGAATTTTATGTTACAATAATTACAATATAAATGGTTGAGCATGGGATACAAATTACAATAGAAGCTCAGAAAATTGTAGATTTATAATAAGCAAAGTTGCAAGGGTGCTAATATTATAAATTTTAATGTTGATATGACTTTTAAGGTAATTATTGTAAAAAATAATAAACTTACTTTACATGATCATTTGTAATTAAATGATAGTTAATAATTTAACCAAGATATCATTTGTGAAGTTGCAGAAGTCTTAGCATGACTGATGAGATTTTTAGTAGTCATTTGGTTTGAGAAAATGTTTTTGTTTTCATTTTTTATTTTTACTTTTAATGAACAAAAAATGTCACATTGTTTTCATTTTATTTTTCTATTTTCAAATGTTGCGTAGAAAATGGTGAAAACAACAAGTTGTTTTTAATGTTTCTTAAATACAATGTGACATATTTTTTTTTGTAATAAAATGAAAACGAGAAATGTAAATAGAGAACATTTTATCTAAATAAACAGGCCATTAGATTTCTATTTCCTACCACAGTTTATGATTAAGCATGACCAATTGGATCTTAAGGTCTGTATGCTTCATATTCCTCATTTAGACTATTTCTTTTGATGAAGATTACAGCTTATTGTTTTATTTGGTAAGGCCTAGAACTCACTTGTGGGCTCCTGGGTGGTCCCCTACTAATGGGTCCTGACATTACAGCTTATCTAATTCTAACCAAAAGTGAGTTAGAATTTAACTATTTTTGGTGACACATTTAGTTAGCATAATGGCTCATATGTTTGCTAAATTGCCCATTTGCACCTTCTAACCTAATGAGTTGTCTAATCCAACCTAGCATATATTTGTCCGTAAAGGCTGATTCACCCTAGATGATTGATTTATATACTTTGTTTTTGAGGTTTTGACTTTTGAGTGGTTACTTGTTGCCAGGTGAGTTGATGTCTGGTTCAGCTGGGATGGGATTCACTCCTCATATCATCAACATTGCCAGTGGAGAAGTATGTGGCAATTTTTTTATGAATTTGAATCAATCTCTGTTTTTGTAATGTATGTTATAATTGTTGAAAGTGGATGAATAAGATAGAAGGAGAAATATGACTCAGAATGAATTATTTTGTTGGTTGAAGGCTCTGAATGATATTACGATTATATGATGTGTTGATATGCAACGTGTGATATCACTAGCTAGCTAAAAAAACTATTTATACTAATTATTCTTGGTCAAGTACTATACTAGTGTAGTATATCTGGTACAACCTAGAGTCCTAGACTAATGACATAAGATTCATAACACTATAGTTCCTAATAATTATGTATTTAAATAAACATCACCCTTTGATTTCTGTCAGTATTTTTGTTCTCTTTTTTACTTGATGGTCTATATAAAACATCTTATTTATTTATGCAACCAAGTTTGGTATTTTTGGCCAAAGAAAGGTGGCACTATGTACTGTTGATCTCTTGAAATACTGATAACTTGAATGTTAAATACTAAACAGACATTCATGTTTGTAGTATTTCTCTCTTATAAGGAAAAGTAGACTTATTGAAGCCAAAGCCGAGCATTATTGATCGACTTAGTGCCATATCTTCTGGCATTTATGTAAATATTGATAAGTTACTCTTCTGATTTTTTTCCCTGTAGGACATTGCAACAAAAATCATGGCATTTTCTCAGCAGGGACCTAGAGCTGTATGCATTTTGTCAGCCAATGGTGCTGTCTCAACTGTTACACTTCGTCAGCCATCAACTTCAGGCGGCACTGTAACATATGAGGTACGGCACTTTCTCAGTATTGTGTATCTGTTGGTGATACACTTCTAGGTTCACATGGAACTGTGATTACATAAAGATACATACCCACATTTATGCATACTATGATTGATTGATTAAAAAAATGCTTTCATGTTACAAGAATGCCTTAGGAATTTTTTTCATATATGGAAGTTGAATACCAACATCATTACTGCAAATTAAGACTGTTTTGTGGCTACTTTTCAAATTGTTTTATATGAGCCTTCGAACAAGTGTTGTAGCTCTTCCACAATGCCAGTTTGACTGAAACCGTGTTGTAAACATGAAGCTTGATACTTATTGGACAAATATTTCATAAATATATTCCTTAGAAAGTATATTCATACATGCACGCATGCATACAATATGGCTAAGTGGCACAAATAAACTTTAATCCCTCCAATGATTGAAACAAAATAATCTTTTACCATTGAATACTGTTTGAGTCACCACACCTTTTTGGTCGGTGGGTACATAATTCCAAGAGAGAAATATTTACGCCTAGAGCAAACTTTAAGATCAGACTTTTTTAAACATTAAAATAATAATTTTATTTAAAATAGATCTGTAAAACTTTTTGAAATACAAAATTGTCTTTTCAGATTATTGTAGTCAATTTCATTTCACATTTCATTTTTAATCCTAATCAGCAAGCTGCAAGCTTTTTACCGAGCAGAAGAAAGAAATGGGAAAGAAAAGAAACACAACTGTGTATATGGGGAGGACTGAAGAGAGAATGGCATTAACTAATGGAGAGACTGAAGGGACATATATGTGTTTCTTTTATGGTAAAAGAAAGCCGAGTCATATTATTAAGTAACTAATATTTTAAATATTTTTTAGGAGCCTAATGTGAGGGCTTTATTCACCTTACCCCAAGGCTGGCCATGACTGCAAATCTTTGACTATCCTAGCTTTATTCACATATTTTGATTGAGAAATATCTGTAATTGTCAGCCTTCTAGTAAAAATCACAGATTTCAACTTTTGTATTATTGAGTATCAATATTTGTTTTTATTTTTAATTTTTTACCCTTTTCCAAATCATAACTCTTATGATAAGGTTATTCATATATCCATATGCATAGAATATATATTTGATTGTAGGGGTGTGCAAAAAATCCAAATTGATCCGAACCGATCCATAACCGATCCGATCTATATTGAAAAATCCGATCCATTTTTTAAAAAAACCCGAACCGAACCACTTTATAAAACCGGTTCAGTTATCCGATCCATTTTTACAAAGTGGATCGGTTCGGTTCGGTTTGGTTTTCTAAAAAAACCGATCCATATATGAGTAAAAAAGTGGATAACTGCACTGCACCGAACCGATCCAATTTCAAAAAAACCGATCCATATTTTAAAAAAACCAAACCGATCCACTTTATAAAAAATGGATCGGTTAACCGATCCACTTTTATAAAACGGTTCGGTTCGGTTTGGATCGGTTTTTTGAAAAAACCGATCCATGAACACCCCTATTTGATTGTTTGTTAACTATGAATTTGATAGGGGCGCTTTGAGATAGTGTGCCTGTCAGGCTCTTACTTGGTCACTGATAGTGGCGGCTCACGCAATCGAACTGGTGGACTAAGTGTGTCCCTTGCTAGTCCTGATGGTCGTGTCATTGGTGGTGGAGTTGGTGGTGTGCTTATTGCATCAAGTCCTGTTCAGGTAACAGCATTCTAGTGTTGTCATAAAATATTACTTTCTCTGGTCCTTTTTATAGAAATAAGTTATAGTGTAAAATATATTTATTATCACTTGTTCCTTGTTAAAAAGGTCTGGAGGTAGTACAATATTATATCTTGAATTCATGTCCCTGATTCCCATATGTTAAAAATCAAAACTTTGTAGCTACTGAATATGAAAGTTATGGACCCATATGTGATAGCCTTTTTCGGAAAAGAATCACCTTTTTGACAGAATCACCTTTTCTAGCTTCAGTTTTTCAATATAAGCGGAAGCCTGAAAGAATCCCAAATCTGAATAAAATCAGAAGCTATCTTGAATAGCTTCTCATAATATCAATTACTCCTTTTAAAAAAATTATCACTGTAAACAAACATAAATTAGCTTCTACTTTTTTTATAATCTCTAAAATAATCACTAGATTATAAGTTTGATTGGGAAAGATGTTTTTCCCAACTTTCAGCTGTTTTTATGGGAAAAAATGTTTTTTGTGAAATAAACCGGTTGTTTGGGACAACAAAAATAACTTTTTTTCATGAATCTGCATATTTGAAACTTATGATTATTTTTCAACAGTTTTTTTATTCTCCTAAAGCTAATTTACTACACAAGCGGATTTTTTTGTTGTATCCAAATGAAATTAAATATCTCAATCACTTTTCAACAAACTTATCGAAACGGATTATAATTGATTATAGATATTTTACATCAGAATCATTCTTTTTAATCTTTAACAACCTGGGTCTGTGATCTTAGATCTGCTCCCACCCCCCTAGTTTTTTCTTTTGGATGGCTTGACTGAAATAGTGAATGACCATAGGTGGTAGTTGGGAGCTTTGTATGGGGAGGATCAAAGACAAAGAACAAGAAAAAGGAAGGATCAGAAGGTGCAGAAGTTGCTGTGGAGTCAGATCACCAGGCAGTAGTTCATAATCCAGTGGCACTGAACAGCATCTCACCAAATCAAAATCTTACTCCATCCCCATCTTTGAGTCCTTGGTCGGCATCGCGACCGTTGGATATGCGTAATTCCCATGTTGACATTGATTTGATGCGTGGTTGACACTTCATTCAATACACACACTAGTGCTGTGTATATATGTTTCAGATTCATCTAATTTTGTTGTAGTAGTAATGACAGAATGGAAGTAAGTACCAACAGCAGAGTAGAGCCAGCTGACTTTTGCAATTGATAAATTTCATCACTTATCCATCCACCCATGATTATTCACTTGGGGTTGTACTCATATTTTTGTAGCTGTGAGGAATTTTAATTTGGAGATTGTATGTTCCTGATTGATTGGTAATGATACATTTTATGTCCTACTTGGAAAAATAATTGACATGGGGCTAGGTGTTTTTATGTGGTCTAGGAGCATCAATTATGGCACATAATAAATATCATGTGATTTTTGTCATAGAACTGTCATGTCTTCTACAAGGCATTGACAAGGGGAACATGAAGATTTATTGCTGTGGATGCATGGTGTGAAAGCATTTTGTATCCTAATGTTGATAAGTGTGGTGTGGGGTTGTAGATTCTCTTATTGCAGGTACACTCATGCATTGATCACCCCGCTCCCTTTGTACAACCATCCATAAAATTTAGTGCTAATAAAGAGGGTAAAAGGCTAAAAAGAAAACTAAAAGGGTAATGGAATCATGATAATAACTTTTAGTCTTTTGACCCCTACAATAATACTTCCACTCTTTTCAACTATGATTTGTGGTGGACATGGCCTTCTAAGCAAGTTTATAAAGGTGACTTAGAGGTAGTATCTGATTTAACTTATTTTGTACCTTTTTCCTCTTTAAAGCGAGGTGTTACTATAATTTTATATAGTTCTAAAAAAATAACAAGATTTTTTAATGAAGAAAACATAAAGAATACGTTTTATGCACGTTAATTTTAGTAACGTTTTTCTTTTTCTTTGAAATATTAAGATCCAAAAGCAAATCATTTTAACAAATAACAAGAGTTTAAATATAGGTACTGAAATTGATTTTCTGAAAATTTAGCTGCGTTAAATTTTTTAAGAAATGGTGTAGTTATGCATAATTTTTTTTTCTTTCTCTTTGTTTATTTTACCGGAATTAATTCTGTTCAATTTGAATAAAATCATTATGAAAGAAAAAATTCTCTCTGAATATTTAATGATTTTTTTATACCATTGGAGTTAATTATGTTCAAGTCTAATAAGAGTATTATAAAACATAGAACTCTTACTGCTTTTTAAATTAATGTTACCTGAATTAGTGAATTGGTTTGATGTTAAATGTGATATCTTTAAATTAGTTTCACCTGAATTGGTGAATTGCTTAGATGTTAAATGTGATATCTTGAAATTGATATTCTTAGATAAAAATAATGTGATATGTGGTCAGTTGGATGAAGCTTGCGATTTGTTTGAGAGAAAAGCACAGTATCAACTAAACTAAGTTCATCGACTGAACTACATAACAATGCCTAGAAGACCACATTATTTCACAATACAGACAATAACAACACCCTTAATGCTATATTACAAACAATAAACACTGCTCAAGTGTGTTGCGCTTGCCCATTTTACTCATCTTAAAACCCTGCAATCATGTTTTCCAAAGTGTGATCATAACACTTGAGACATACAACTTCCAACATTCCCCCAAAATTACTAGAGTTAAGTACACGAACAGCTAGTAGCAAATTCCAACTTTTGTGTGGTATGCAAAGGTCTAAAAGTCCTTTGTGTTGGCTCTAAAATGTAATGGCAATAACACAGTTCAACTTGAAGATTTAACAACGAATAGACCTGGAAATCATTTCTGAGAATTGAAAATCACTAGCTTCTATCTATTATCTAAGACCATAATCTATGAACAAATGAAAGATTCACATTTTATAGAAGATGGCCTGTATTAGTAAAGGTAAAATATGAATTACAGCAGAAGAAAATTACAGACTAAAGGCTCACTGAACAGTAAACAAATATAAACCAAATTAGAAAATATACAAGTTATAATAATTAATGTTTACATGCATATAACTAAGTTTGTAATCAAAACTTGCTCCTAGATCTTCATTGTTAGGATACAAATAAGTCTTATATTAATAAAATAAGAGAAAAAATAACAATTTATAAAACATACTCATACTCCAATGATTGAGGGGCTTTTTGGGTGATAACCAAAAGCAAAGGTGTGAGGACTTAGGCTCAAAGCAGACAATATCTCATCATTGTGGAGTTGTGTATAAAAATAACTTATATAAAATATCCCTTTAAACAAATATCATAAAATAACCTTAACACCGATCACTATCTAATGTAGATATTAAGAGGAAATTTAGGAGAAGCATATTTAATAAGGGAATAGAAAGTCTAAACAGAGGAAATAGTTAGGGGGAAGGCAATAAATTAGAAAGCAATTGTTCGTTGATCATGCTTACGGTGACAAGGAGAGGAGTGGTTGTTGGAATGAAAAAGGTTGGTTGGGCTCTACCCAAATCACACAAGGCCCAACTCATTAAGATCACTTCACTTCAGTAATGTTGGGTTAGGGTCCAAAACATGTAATAATTGAATCAACAGAATTAATGCTGAAACCTACCTAGCTTTGGGAGGATTGTTTCATGTGAAAGATACATGTAGAATAACTAAAATAATAATTGATGCTGAAACTAATACACTAATCTCGCATAGTCCATACAAAAGCTGTAAGCTTGTAATGGGAACCATGATGCAAACAAATTAACATTATTACACGTCATTTATCTCTCAAATAACATGTCATCTTCAACTCACTTCACATATTCTCATCTCGTATTATTGTTATAAGTGAATTAAGAGTATGTTTGGTTACATCTATAGGAGTTTTTAAGAGTTTTTTTTATAAAAAAAAGTTTTTTTTCTTCTTCCAATTAAAAAATTCTTATAAACTTTTCTAAGCTTGTATAAATATAAGCACTACTAGAATTTCTCTTATTACATGCAACTTTTCATACGAATTTGACATAATAATTCATTGGAAATTTGACTCTTATGAATTTTTTTGCGAAATTTTATCTTTAGATAATATCTTTGTGAATAATATATTTTTGTGAATTTTAAAATTCGCAAGAAATTTTCCTACAAAATTTCTTGTGAAAAAATTCGCAAAAAATTTTCCTGCGAATTTTTTTGCAAAAATTTTTTGTAGATTTTTTAATGAAAAAAATTAAATAAATTTTCTTTCCAATTTATAATTCAAAATTAATTTGTGTAAATTTTTTTGCTAAATTTCTTACGAATTTTAAATTTACAAAAACATGTGATTGATGACCTTTTGAAATTTTAGAATGCAAGTTATAGGCCTAATTCAACCTACAAGATTAACTTGTAACATTAGTGTTGTCCCTAATTATATACTCTTTAATTATCTTATTTCTAATCAATGTATGATTTATGGTTTTCTTTAAAAATTAATTAGATTATATCCTTAGAAATAAAATTAATTCAATCATATTGAACTACAAAATTATATTATATATTATATTAACACTTAAAATATTCAATATTCTAAAAAATAGCTTTATATTAAATAATTTATTTTAAAAATTATCATTAAATTAAAATTCATTATCACTAACTTATATATTTAATTAAAATAAATGTTTAATTAATTAATATTTTAAATTAAAACTATTTTTTATGAAATGTTTATAATAATTTAGTAAAATAATATTTTGTTAAGTAAATACTTTTAATTTTAAAATTTTATGAATTATCATTCAATTAAAACTCATTATCATTAATTTATTATATTTACAAAATTTTATATATTTAATTTAATTTAAAATTTTATCATAAATAAATTTCTATGATCATCAAGATTATAGCAAAATTTATAAAAATTTCTTGTAGATTATTTTTCATAAAAGAATTTGTAATAATTTTTTACAAATTATTTTTAATAAATAATTTACAAAAAAGTTTTTATAAATTTATTATTATAAAAAAATCTGCAAAAAAATTTTACGAATATTTTTTTAAAAAAATTATAAAAAAATAACAATTTTTTAGTAATGAGGCTCCATCTAGCATCAAAACATTTTGCAATCCATGAAACAATCACACATTATTGTCTACTGCAACCAACTCAGATTAAATTTATGCAGTCCACGCATCTTAAACAAAATGATAAGAAAGTTAATAATATAATATGACCATTTATTTTATTTTCTTTCCAAAGGGTGAAATTTAACTTCTAAATTATTTAAATTGTGTGTTATAAAAATTTTATATAGTACAAGTTACAGTTGGGAATACCATCTGTAGAAAAATGTAAAGTGAATGTTATGCACCTAATATGACATTAAATAACAATGATTTTTCCATGTCTACGAGGAATAAAACTATAAAAGACTTATTTATTTGTAGCTGACCAAACAAAAAACACCACACCACAGCAAGAGATTAATTCTCAAGAGTGTTCCTTGAGAATTTGCAAAAGCTCGTCTGACACCTAATTACTAATTTGGTGTAACCCAAAGCACCTATGAGGATACATATATAAAACTGAGATGATACATTTTGTGAATGTTCATCCCTAATTTTCTCGAAAGACTTGTTTACAAAAATGGAAGATGAAATAATTACTGAGAAGAGCTCTTGTTGCCTATAACAAGGGTCAAGTTCAAGAATGGACCAATAACACCACCCACTTAAAATAGGGTTAAAGTTGAAAGACAAAGTTGTGTTATACTTTCAGCATCAGACTACAATCCTAAAGAATGCAATAAAATCATAAATTGAAGAATTGCCAAATTAAAAGGGAAGTCACATATCCTTGAAGAAACAGATACCATTGAAATCCCAATTCTTAACGTCCTACCAATAGTTAACTTACCCAAAAGAAGAAACGAGACGAAGGCTACACTTTCAATCTGCCACTGCTAAAAAACTCAAAGAGGCAAAATAAATGGTGATAGTAGAGTTGAGCTGCAAATGCAAAAGAGAAGGAGTGGAGTAAGTACCTAGAACTAGCCCACAAAACCTAATTCACAAAAATAAAAAATAAATAATTGTTTTATGAGTATGAGTAAACACTAAACAGTGGACTAAATTGAGATTTTAACTTGACCGATATTGGAAGACATCTTCACAAAGACACTTTCAAAAGGAAAATGTTGAGAATATGAATCAGTATCTATTATTTGAGTTTATTTCAGATTAATGGAACATTATTAGAATTCCTACGGTTATGAATTTTAATTATAAGAATTATAAGTATTGTTACACTTTTATGAGTATTTACATTTGTCATTTAATTTTATGTTTATGAACAAAATTTGTATCAGTGTGTTTTGTGTATTTAAAAGGTTGTAAGTATGAATAAAATACATGAGTTTCAGCTCCTAATTTTTTTCTAAATTCCAACAAAAGTGCAGTTTTGATCATAATGATGAATTATATCTATTTTTAAAATCAAATGTTAAAATATTGATTTAGAGCAAAAGTGATAATGATATCCAAGTTTTGTCTGTTTATTTATTTCACACCATGTCGGCATGTTATATATATATTTTTTTGTCTTCACCTGTTACTTACTGAGCCATTTGCGAAAAGAATATATCTTACTCAAACATCACAATAGCTTTTTTTTTTTTTTAGAGAAAAACATCACACTTGCTAGCACATGAAATAAAATAACAACTCAATCCATATAAAAATGCAGATGCAGTCTCCCTGGAAAGTAGGCAAGACATCATACATCTTAACATTGGTCATTTCAAGAAAACTCTAGAAATGAAAAGTGTGTTTGTTTGCCTGTATATAATCTATTGCACATTTTCAAGTTTTATTTTTACATATTATATTGTTGGGTGTAAATTACACTACCAATTAATTAAAACTATGATAGTTATTGTAAAAATTAATAAACTTATTGTTTGAATGGTGATCATGACGTGCTCCTTCAATATGACTGCTATAGTTGTAAAGACAAAATGGTAGTAATAATCACTTGCAGACACTCCAATACTCAAGTCATATGAGCAAGGGCAGATTGACAATAAGCGATCTGAGAGTAAGTCATGCGTGGTACAGAAGGGCCTTTAAATAGCAGGCGGAAGGAGGGAAAATTTGTTATCCTATGTAAGTAGATTGGAGGAGGTGGACTATAGCGGGAAAAGACTAGCAGAGAAACAAAAACAAAATAAAAATAATACACTAGTCAATTTTCCACAGCATGTGTACATTTGTGTCAACAATTATGACTTAGGGAACAAAGACTTGTACAACAAGCACTGCCAAAGAGGCTCAAATCAGATTCAAGTAGCTTTCAAAGTAAAACCAAGGCTCAACAATATTTACATTCTACAACATGTTGTCTGTGAGAGCAGGCAACCTGCGGAAGAAATTGATTGGTGCTCCTGGTGTCTTGCCCCTAAGCTTAGGGTGCCTCATTAGGTAAAATCCACCAAGAATAAACAACATCTGAGGGGGTGTCACATACAACATTATGGCACTCACAAGGCAAAACACCATGAATATGGAAGTTGCACGTGGATCCCTCCAATTCAGAAGTGCATGGACCCTTTCTCCCTGAGTTGCTATCTGTCCTACAACACTTTGAACTTTCCCTGCCAAACTTCTCAACCTATCATACCTCCAACGCACTATGTCTGAACTCTTTGTGGTTGGAAAAGAGTCCATCTCCTCATCAAACTCCTCAGGGTTAGTTATATCTGCACAAGAGAGCTTAGCATCCATGTGAGGAGGGTTTCTAGGCCTGAACCTCCATTTCCACATCCCTATCACAAACATGTATAGGAACATGGTTGGTAGAATGAGTTCTGGGAAACACACAAACATTAAGTAGACAATGTGCACCAGCACTGTCACAAAAGAGTTCTTCCACTTGGCAATTTCTCCAAACCAACTTCCAAAACAAGCTAGGAAGGAAAACACTTCCTTTAGACGGTTGAAGTTCGCCTTGCTGCGCCGCATGCTCCATAGATGAGAGTCTGTGTCAGACATGTACTCAACCACTTCTTTTCTAAGAGGGGGTTCTGTTCTGCCGAGTCTAGATGCTACAATGATCACAGCTTGGACTCTAAGCCTTTCCTGGTCAATAATGCTAAGGGGCTTTGTGTAGTGCATCTTTGGCAAATGGGGTTTGAAGTACATAGCCATCATGTTAGCCATTGAGGTGCATGAGAAACGTACGGCCAAGTGCACCTCACCACTCTTCTTGAGACCAGAGTTTTGCAGTGACAATAATGGATAAGAATGAGTGTAAACACGGCCAGTTTCTAGTGTTGAGATCCTTATCCGAACCTTTCCGATCTTGGAATCTTTGGTACCATTTGAAGAATTGTGAATCTGTGCATTGTCAAACACCCCCAAAGTGAGAACCGTGGCTGTGTCATAAACTTCCCAAGTGTACTGCTCATGGAACTTTGGGTTTAGATTGCCAACAATTGTTCTAGTGCGCACCCATTTGAGGCCATACTTTGCCACACAGTATGCATCTGCTGTTCCTCTTCCATCCCTACTTTTGGTTGGTAACAAATCAGCATTCAAAATGCCAAGTTCCAAGACACCAATTGGCTTCTTCCATAGCTGCTTAGCGGTTGGCCTAAGATCACTACTGTAATAAGTTGACTCATCTAGCACATGGTATCCACCATCAAGAATGAGAGTGACATGGATTCTGCTGAAGAACTTGTCCTTGTCCTTCTCTTTCTTTTTCCCTTGATCCTCCATTGCAGATGACATGGACTTCTCAAGGGGATACCACCTTCCACGGATAGGCCTGTCTTCCACACGCCTTCCGATTGTGCTGATAGGAATAACAACATTGCCAATGGTCTCATCCTTGTTGCCACCAACACGTTCTTCCACTGTGAGGACCAAAGGCTCTTCAAAAGGCTCAGCAGCAACAAACAATAGCTCCTGATCCCAGCGAGGTTGCGCCACCCTTAATGGCTTTGTCTTCATAATCTGGTTGCCAATTTGCACCTTAACATAGGCATCTGGAACTTTAGACTTGTCAGATGAAACCAAGTCCTGCGCCTCTATCACTTTGACGCGCACATACCATAATCTTGGTGACATATAAACTTTTGATCTAATCTGAGAATAGTTAGATATAGTGCTTCCATCAGGGGAAAGTACTGCATCCGAATGCCAAGCATCTTGGAAAGCCTCGTCTGCTTGTGTGCCATACCAAACAGCAAGCATCAACTCCCCTTTTTTTTCTCCATTCTTGTTAACAATCCTATACCACTGAGGAGCCAATGGACTATCAGGTGGAATACGTTCAGGAACTTCATGAAGATCAAATACCACAGTTCCAACAAAATCATCTAATATAGTGTCCTTGTCTTTGACCACAACTTCAAGAGTAAATGATTGCTCATTCTCCTTGGCAAAGGCAAACACCTTGTTCCATTCAGGGTTTTGGTTTTTCTCAAAGTGGTTGGTAGTTCCTTTGAAGTTTCCAACCTTGACCTCCACGTAGGGGTCAAGGCTACCTGTCACATCCATTGATGGAAGGTCTCGTGCCTTTACAACTCTTACAAAAAGGTACTTCATTGGTTCAACAAGGTCATAGCTGCTTGATGGGGCTGCTTTATTCCCACGGATAACCCTTCCACCAACAACTTTGCCCCCTCCTAGAGTAGGGCTAATTTCTTTCACTACGAACTCTTGTGCACCTCCAAATGCTTGAACAACTTTTGGAGGAGCCTGTGAGGATTTCATCTCAAACATCCCAAAGGTTACACCTGGCTTTGCATCTGCTGCAGGCTTAGACTGCTGTTTTTGTTCATTGTTTGGTTTTGCAATGCTATGAAACATGTGCCTTGCCTCAGTTTTCTTTCTAGTCACACTGTTGAGGATTGAGTCTGTAAATGACACTGACGTTGGTGGTGTTTGGTCTTGTGTTAGATTTTCATTTTGGTCTATATTGACAAAGGACTCCACAGCAGGAAGAGGGTTTGAGGCTCTTATAGAAGGGTTATCAGTGACAAAAACCTTCAAACCAATCTCTCCTTTGGAACGCGAGAAAACGTTTTTCTTTTCAAGAGGGTAGTGCAAAAGAGCAGCATCAGAATATGGCACAAATGAGGCTCCAGTGAGCCTGACCTTCCCAAGGAGTACTTTAGAACCATTGGTTTTGTTGTAGTGATAGATATAGGCTTCAAGAGTGAGGCTTGATAACTTGGTTGGATCAGTAATGTTGAAGTAAAAGCTTTCATTCCAAACAGGACTCAGATCTTTATCTTTGGTTGTTGTCCGAAATCTCTGGTCATCAAAGTGAAGTTCCACATAAGTAGTAGATGAGCCTTGACCATCTTTGGACACAAGGTCATGAGCACTCACAACTTCTACTCCTAGCTTAAGGTTGTTCATTGCCAATAAATAACTGCCAGGAAAAATCTGATAGAGAGAAGATATACTGATACCTGAGGTAAAAAAAATAGAAAAAGAAATCAATAAGGTTCAACTTTAAAGATTAACATTGCAATGCATCAAATATAAGAAGTTTCAATAATTGTTATAAATAAATAGAGAGAAATCTATGTTATAGGTCCCTCAATTTTCAGTCAAAGTTGGTCTTAGTCCTATACTTTAAAAAACAACGACTTCGATCCTCATATTTATTACAATTAGTGAATTTAGGAATCTATAACACATTTTACCCATAAATAAATCACAATTGTTAATGCTTACAAATATATATATATATATGTCAGAGGAACAAATTAACAGCCTAGTTTTTATATATGTATGAGAGTGGAATGGATTGATTTTGATCCTGCGTGTTGGTTTAGTGAAACAGGTTAAATGCACACTAGAATCATCAGTCACATCTATGTCAATTAAATGAATATCTGCTAATAGCTAAATATTAGTCTTACATATAATATATCACCTATCAGCAATATTGAATTTTGTGCCTTTATCTTCTTCGTTAAGCATATGCTAGAGATTTCTCTATGCTTTCCCATTAATATAGTCAAAGAAGAATTCTAGCAGAGCTACAGCAATTTCATGAAACATATAAACTTGGCAGAAATAGTCTGTTTGTAAAAGGGAAAAAAAGCAAAAGTTCTATTGGTATTTTTTGAGTTCCCATGATTATATATTCATGTGAATTTGTGAATGATTCGGAGGCTCACTGATAAAGTAAACATGCTATTAATATCATTATTCATTAATGCATATTCCCAATCTCTCGTGGTTTGACTCAATTACATAAAGATGTGAATTTATCAAATTTGAATTTTATTTAGTCTTCTTTTTCTAACTGTAATAATTAGAAAGCCTGTGAAAGCATAAATTACCCCGGTCTATTCCCATCTAAAATTAATATAATTATATATATCTATAACTAAAACAGGAAGAAAAAAAAAGAGTAATGAATTATCATTCAGTTTTCCCAATCATAAATAGGAAGCAAAGATGGAAAGATATAATAAGAAAAGAAGGAAAGGAAAATTGTGGTGGAAAGTAATACTTATTAGAGAACATTAAAAAAGAGGGAAGGTTCTGAAAGTATCAACCAAACAATCCCACAACTGTCTTCTACGTGACCAAAAAGCAAGACAAGAATAAAAAATAACCCTTTTGTTATGTACTTATTGGAGAACATTAAAAGGCATGGACTCCTTGCATATTGACCTCAAAACAAGGGATTGAGACGAGAAGCTTCAGATTACATAAATCAAAAGAAAAACTTTCTGAAGAGAATTAATTAAAGATTCATGAACTCCAAACATGGGAGCTAAACTAGTCCCTTGAGTTATACACTTGCTTCAGCCTTCTAGCTGAAACAAACATACATTAAAATTTTCAAAAATGAAACTAAAACAAAAGTCAAAAGCAGTGATTAGTGAAGCAAAGAAGGAGCTTTTATGAAGAGGCAAAATTTACACGAAACTTTTGCAAAATAAACATCTGTGCCCAATATTTGAAAACACAAAAGGCTTTGTTTGTCTAGTCTGACCAAACATCCCAACTTCGTAGCATCCGAAAATTCAAGCTTTGAAGACTATATAACTACAACCAAACACTACCAAAAGCCCACAAATTTTCCATTATTGGGAGAAATTATTACATGCTCCCAAACCAGCCCATCATGGTCTCAACTAATTTTTACGTAATATATAATCAAGCGTTATTAATTTTTATTATAAACTAATTTTTTTTTGTCATATATCACATCTAAATTGGTTGAGACTAATAACACTGTAATCTGGTACAAGTTGTCCCATACTAGACTCAGTATCCAACTAGAAATCAACAAAATGGTGCACATACCCAGAAGAAAAATAAAACAACCCAAAAAGGAGGAGGCAGAAGAATATTATGAGACTTACCTGGGTGTTTTAATTAAGAGGTGAACAAGAAGAAGAAGAAGAAACAAGTGAAGAAAAAAAAGGAGGATTTTGAGTGGTTGTAAATAACAGAGAGAAGAGACTTAAAAGAGAAGGCAAAGGTTGAGGAAGTGATTTCTGGGATGGTTCTCACGTTATACATAGAAGTCGTTGAAAACGAGTGAAATTGGAATACATGGACGTGCAAATTGAATTTGTCAAGTCTTTTATTTTATTATTTGCTCCGAAAGAGATATAGAGAGAGAGAAAGAGTTATAGTTGGAACTTGGAATTTGTAAGAACGTCGTCCGTTTCAGTTTGTTCTGTTGTTTTAGACAACCTCGGTCTTCGTTTTCAGTTTTACTCTCTCCCTCTCCCCGCGTTACACGTGTCCTTCATGCATTTGAATTATTGTTTCTTATTAACATGTTCTGTTTGAGACTAAATTTCATCATGTTTTTGATAAATTAATGACAAATTTTGTTTTTTAATAATTTAAATTCATTGAGTATTTAATTTATTTATCGATAAAAATTAAAGTAATATTATACATATAACAAAAAATATATATAAATTATTAGTTCAAGTAGTTTCACATTTATATTCCTCATATAAAGACTAAATTTTGATCTCTATGTTGATCATGGAATTGCTAACAAATATATTATTATGGCTCTTTATTGAATAAAAAATAAATCATTATAAATTATTAAAAAAATTATTATAAAATAATTTATTATTTTTGTTTCTAGAGATTTTAAAACAAACATAATCTCATATATATATATATATATA